GTATATATATCTATATATGTATATGTATCTGTTATAGTATAACCCATACGTAAATTGTTCTTCCCAATGTGTTTGGAGACACGTACATTCGTATGCTCTTTGAGATAGATGTGCGTGTACATGGTCATTATATATCTACATCAAGGGAGTATCATTCTTTCATGATCTCAAGTCTGTTGCACACATTTTGAATTTCACCTAAAACTTGCTCAAATCAGCTGCTATTAGTATATATGTGGTTAAAGATCAAGAAGTGACCATTTTACAGATACCTACACACTGTAATGTGAAATTAGTTTGTACATTCGTAACTATCTTGGGTTTCGATACATTTTTGCTCCAAAGTTTATCGCAAGTCTTCTGCACATATGAAGACTACAATAATGAATATATAAACTGCATACACTCCCACACTTGCAGACGACGGCTCAGCACCTTATAAGCGGCCCCTTGTGTTTAACACCAGGGCTACCGTCGACTTCTCCACTGGCAACGTCATTCTGCCAACCCGCATCACGTGCTACTGCAGGTGAGTGGCAGTGGACTCATTGAATATACGCTCCTTCACATGGCTGCAGATTCGACCATTTCTCGCCCTTTCTGTCATTCCAGAAGTTTGTTTCACAATCGCAGCTGCGAGTCCCGGATGACATTACACAGCACCTGTTGCACCCAAAACTTGTACTATCACTAAACAATTTTTTGTTGCTTGGGCTTCTTACTCCCGACTGGTATTCAGGCATCATGATGAAACTGCAGGGTTTCGGTATGCGAGCTTTCTCCTGTCGTTTTCAGCGTGTTGAGAAGGGGGAAGGGTTATGGAAATAATTCATTGTCTTGCAAAATCATGTATGTGCTGTATTTGCGATGCCATTTAGAATTTTTTTTCTAGAGCAATTTATATATGATGTCTACAAAGGTACGACGCCGGCGTCTATTACAGCTATCACCGACGCATCCCACCTTCAAACCTGATGCTCGCATCGCACAGAGTGAAATATAGTGCCATCTGAAGGATGGTAGTACTTGTATGTATGTATATACATTGGGTTCATCCCACTGGCTTCCTCACTTTATTATTTGTTTCTAATAAACAACTCAGCATACACATATCGCTCAAAGATGAATGCGGCAATGTGGTGGCGACGGCTCTGACCCATCTGATTATGGTCACAGACGATCACAAGTCATCGAAGAAGAACAAATCCGCTGCCAAGCCAAGCCAAAGAACCGCAGATCAACTGGTCTTGCGCAGTGGCCAAGGTATGATAAATATGACTTAACGTGTATATTGATGTATATAAACTCGTATTTTATTCTGGCTACGAATAAGGCTACGGTCCAATTCCTCATTAAGAGTAGCGATGAATATATAGCCAATGGTGAGCATACGTATGTGTGCAGACCTGGGAGATCGACCACTCACACGATGCATATACGTTGTACGCATCTATACAGTTGCGCAACGCACGATGCAATCACATGTCTAATGCAATCACATGTCTATTTTATTGTCGATATCTACCGCCAAGCTATGCTTGCGCTGGTGTACGGACTTCACTAGATCGTGCAAGCGTTCAATCAAAGCATATTGCCATTCCCAGATCTTTGCTGTGTATTCAACTATGATTTGTTTCTACAGGGGTGTTTAGGGTTCTCTATGCTACTGGTCAACTAAGAACACAGTCATAGTCCCCGGTATTAGACGTACTTGAAAATGAACATGTGTATCGGATGTATTACTGTAACTAGTGGCCTGGATGCTCACACTTGCATATCCTTGACAACGTATGCAGAGCTGTCCAAGCCGTCAGCCTCCACAGTCATACGCCCCAGTGCACAACGAAGTCACACTGCGAAGGAGACAAATGTTCACGGCTCATCAAATCTATTGGAAACACCCCCATTCAAATGCATGCCAATGGGCCACAGTCAGCAAGGCCTCCTAGGCGGGCTAAGACACACGCCAACCAACACACAAACATCAACGAATGCACACACACCAACTCATACGCAATTGCAGGCACAAGCACGCGCTCATGTGCAAGCCCAAGCACATACCCTGCCCCACAGTGACACGGCCACACCTTGTCTGAATGCGCATACACAAGCACATGCACTCGGAAGCAATCTGTCAATGGCCCCCATGTGCGATGGGTCCAGTGGGGGAGGGCATGTGCAAGACATGTCGCATACGAATCTCTCGCGAACGAATCTGTCACATGCGTACGTGGACAGTGGCCAGGAGTGCTCGCAATTGATCGCAGACAAGATCACGAAGTCACTTGATACCGTAGCAGCCCGTATAGATGCTTACAGGTGAGCACATCTAGCACCTTTTCGTGAGCATGTG